TTTTCAGATCCTCTCCAGCTCTTGGCCCAAGCCCTCTGTATTCACTGACTAAATGGGTGAGCAAACCAAGAGGGCATCATCCACATGCCTGCAGGCCCAGAGATGCTTGCCTCATCCTGTTTTTCCCAGGTCTAAACAGTCCTTCATTCACTGTGCTGCTTCCTTTTAAACAACCTCCAGCTCACATACAAACCCCTTCAGTTGATGGGTCTGAGAAATGAGTGTTTCCTGACAAACCCTTAGGAACAGGTGGGCTTCGGCTAAGAAGGCTTCACGCCCTAACTGCATGTAATTCACCCTTTATAGAGACTGAAATCTAACATTCAGGCAGTTTTAAGATGAGGAGAGGATTGCCATAATTTGAATGGCCCTTCAAGGACAGAATAACAGGGCCAAAAAAAAAAAAAAAGAAGAAGAAAAGGGATCTTTGAAGAAGTCCTTCAGTAAGGCAGTCAAGACTCGTTTAACATCCTCCTCTACCCTCAGCGGGCACACACAAGTTTTCTAGAGCCTATGGCAAGAAACAGACCGCAGGTTTTTTCTATCAGACAATATTACATGGCATGTTCCCCTAAGACAGATGCACCCAGCAGTTCACCCCACCCATCTACTCAGACAGAGGCACACACAGCCTCATCCCCAGCATGAAATAGATGCACAGAGTCTCCCACCCCTCCCCGTCACTAATACAAAAAGAAGGCACTCACTAATACAAGTTTTCCCACAGGCCTTAGAGAGGAATCTCTGCAGACTATGCCAGATGGTCATTTTTTTTTCTTTCATGCCCTCCTGGGCCCCTTCTCCACTTTCATTGTTTTTTTTTTTTCCCCTCTAACTCAAAGAACTCAATTATCTGCCAGCAGATTTCCCCTCCGCCTCCCCCCAGCCCTTTCTCCCACGCAGAGGCACTGAGGGACACCAAGGCAGGCTCTGCAGGGTCACGGCCTGGCCTCCCTAGGCTTCCACTGCTTGGCGGCCTCGCCAAACTCTCCTGGGCCCAACACTGTAAATCAAGAGTCTCCAGGGCCGTGACAGGTAATAGCTAAGAAAAGAAATGGGAAGACATGCTCTTCAGTCTCTCAGCCCAGCCTGCCTGCAGGCAGGCGCTTCAGAGAGCCCAGGATTCAGACCCTCCCACCTCCCTGGGTAGACCTCCCCAAAGGAGTCCTTAGAATCAGATGAGGTGGGGTGTGGGGCACAGACTCTCTCAGTTCCAGTCTGGCAGTATGTCCAGGAAATCTGGAATGACCCTCCAAGCTGTACACCTAAGCCCTTCACTCCAGGGACGGGGCAGAGCCAGCAGAAATGAGGATGCCCTTGGCTTATCCTTAAGGTATTTCAACTTTCAACTTTTTGGGTAACTGATCATTCTAATTTTAGAGAGAGGGAGACCAGGGGGAGAACATGCAGGAAGGGGAGGAAGGGGAGAGAGGGAGTGAGAACAGGAATGCTACTTTTTAATCCTTAAGGAACATGGAGGGATCCATCCAATCTGTGACTCAGCTCTGGGAAGCTGGACTGAAGGGCAGGGCACAGCTGCAGCCCCAGTCTCAGCTGCAGACAACTTCTTCTTCAGGCCTGAGAGGTTGCTCTGCTGTGATTCACCTAACACAAAGGCTCTCTCATTTAAAAAAAAAAACCTACCCACCCAGGGTCTTCTCAGAGGCCTTTTCCCAGACACCATCCAGGGCATGGCTGGCAGGTCTTCCCCATCCAACAATAAAGCCGTGGTCGCAGGAGGGCCATCAGCCCCTCTCTGTATCCCCACCTGGTATACCATGGGCCCCGCAGATCGCTGTGGCAGACCTGGGGTGCCCTTGCCCAGAGTCTCCCCCCGTACTATTCTGTTCCCTGGCACAGTCCACAGCATATCGAATATCTCTGCCCTTGGAATTCCCACTTCCTTGTTTCTTTTTCTTGTTTCCTTCTAAGCTGTAGCCACACAGGTTCCTGAAAGAGCTGCCCAGCCCCCAAGGAGTGGTTCAGAGCAACAACTCTTCCTGCCAGTTAAGACCCTGCCTTTCAAACCCAGAACAGAAGAGAAAGACCTCTCTTAACCACTCAAAACACTTTCCTCAGCAGAACCTAGGGGGATGAGGGAGCCAGCCCTGGCAACCAGTATCCTCTCTTCCAGTTACTAGAACTGATGAAACCATAACTGCCGGGTAGCTATGGGACTCTGGAAAAACAAAGGGTCTCCTGGAATCCCGCTCCTCCATGCTAAATGCGAGTCAGGTGGCCTAAGGGAAGCTTCATCTATGAAGGATCACTTATGAGGCTCAAAGTCCACAGTGAACATCACTCTTCCTAATCTTCCCAACCCAGAGAAAGCACTATTTGTTTCCTTTAACATCTTGAAGAAGTTGCTTGTTTTTCTCATTTTTATTTATAATTGCAAAAAAGAAGATGGGACTTTATAAATAGGGAAACCGGAACTGTGAGGTAAAGTGACTTTCCAGAAGAGAACGGGGCCATTCTTCAACAATTTATAACATCCTAAATTATATGGGACTTGACTTGTTTTAAATTACTTCATGGAAATTATTTCCTTTGCCCTTCTCCATAGTCCTACAAAGTAGTTATTATCAGGATCTCCATCTCACAGCTAATAAACCTAAAGGTCATAGAGTTAAGGGTCTCGCCCATAGTCACCTTCATAGCAAGTAGCAGAACCTGGCAATGGACTCAAGTCTCCTAACCCCAAATCCACTATTCATTCTGCTACACCGAAAGAAAAGATCATCTGCTAGGCCTCTGCACACATGGGGGCAATAAAACCAAAGAGCCTCCTCTACCATTTCCACAAGCAGAGGAAAACTGAGATCGTGGATTTGCCTTGCCCACCACAGGGCCCACTGACTCCAAGAGGCCTCCTACTCACGTCCAACTTCAATCTCAACCAACAACACTATGCCGCATCACCCCAGTAAAACAGAGGTTTCAACCCAAGCAGATCCCTGGAGCACAGTAAAAGAAGGCACCACTTTAGAGGTGGCCCATCCAGGCCCAGGGACATTGAGTTCATCCTTGTGGACCCTCAGGCCACAGCACTGATGCCTACACGTACACAGTCAGGGAGCCCGAACTGGGGACACGGCTGGTGCTTTCACTGGCAAGCTGACCTGAAGTTAATCAGAAGGCCCCCTCATTGTTTGCCAGAATACAAAAGACATTCTGTTCAGGAAGTACAAGAAGAAAAACCAAAGAGCCAGGACAGCAGCTGTTCCCTCATCCCACAGAGACATCAAAGGCATCCAGAAAGTTCCCTGAGGCTCGGGAGTAAGTCTGAGATGTAACAGGGCTGAAGCAGCTCCTCTCCTGATGGGTCTCCAACCCAGGGACTGTCTGCTGTATTAAGTCTCCTAATAACATCACTGACAGTCATCACTATAAAAATGCCTTTCTGGAAGGGTCCCCTCTCCTAGGCCACACAGAGCTCACCACACACCAGTCCTCTAGGTCAGAACAAGTTTTACCAAAACATAGGACCAGCAGAGTAGGAGTGCACAGCGTGGACACCGCATGTCCTGATATCTGGTTAAAATATTAACCCAAGGAATCCATCCAGCACAAGCACAGTACCTCATGGCTTTGCAGGCGAGCTGGCGCTTAGCAGCTGCCACTGAGAACTCACTCTGAGTTATGGGGGGGACACATCTCTGCCCTCATGCCATATATTTTTAGGAAAGCCTGTGATGGGCCTTATTAATGAAGGAGGACAACTTGCTCCCAACCAAGTTACCTGGGGAGAGACCAACCCCAGTTCAGGTATCCCCCAGACAGTCCCTGTCCTAGTAACTGCTTCAGAGAGACTTGGAACCTACCACAGGCTCCTAGCTGAGTTATTAGCTTACTTTTTTCTTCACTACTGCAGGTCACACACTGCAGCAGCAGAGACAGAACAGTGTTCACTAGAACAAACCAAGCCACTCAAAATACACTAAAGTTTCCATGTGAGAACTGCAAACACAAGGCTGGGTGATGATAACTTGCTTTTTCTATACAAAGGACTCTTCCTGCAAAGTACCCTGAGCCTTTTACTAAATAAAAGTAAGATGATGATTCCTATAGTGAAGTTTAAAAACCTCAGGTTCAGCACAACATCAGCTACATTTGTAAAGTCAAGAAAATTGGCTCTCTCCCTCCTCCTTAAGCTAATAGAATCCAACTGTTGGAATATGACATCATTCCTGAGCCCCAAATCCTGAACAGAGAGTAAAGACACTCGCTTGCCTCCCAGAAAACAGCCCAAGACTATGGCCAGGAAATGAGGAAAACAATCCAAGCCTGGAGCTGACCTTACCTGAAAGTCCCCGCGCTTTCCTGCCCACTCCATTCTCGGCAGAGTCTGGCTCACACCACAGTCTATCAGGGAGCCCAAGGCCCCCAGATCCACAAGCTTAAGCTCCGATACCTGCTGCGAGCTTCCCACAGCTCCTTCCTCTAACCTTCCCTGGCGCTCCTTCCAGCCAAATGAGCAGAGCACAGCTAGCAGGCCAGGCCAGTTGTCATGGAGACCCTGTTCTCACCAGCGCACGCACACTCTCTCTCTGTCCCTCTCTCTCTCCTTTCTCCTCTCTCTCTCCCTCTCTCAGTTCTGGGAGGCTTCCATGAAACAGCACCGTCTTTTAATCAGCTTGGTTTTTGCACACATTCCACTCCTCCTACCTCCCTTCCAGTCAAACAAGGGCTCTGGGCTGCTTCTGGGAACTTGCTTGAACAGCTCAGAGGGGAAAAGGAAGACAGTGAGAGGACTTGTTTTCCTCCCCTCCAGTGTCTCACTCTTTATAACTTGGAAGAATCTCGGCCAGGGGGAGGGAGCTAGCTAGCCAGCGCACAGAGAGGGGAAGCCAGCCCTTCCTCTAAGACCTGAAGCCGGGGTAGTGGGACCCAGACGCGTTGCCTTGACTTGTTTGTGCATTTGGGATTTTCCAGGCAGCAGCTGAGACAGAAATGCATTCACATCCCAGGAGCCCGTCTGGACTGGCCTGTCTGCTTACCTTGCTGCCTGCCCAGGTTGCGGTGATGGCTTTAACCAGTGCAGGGATTCCTGGTGCTAGTGCTGGTGCCCAAGCAGTCTCTCATCTTCCTGCAATGGAGAGGAAAGACACCAGGTCAGGACCAGCAGGAGTCCTGGGCAAGTCCTGCATCACAGCCCAAGCAACCAACATGAAACAAATACCACCTTTTCTCTCTGCCCTGCTCAGAGTCTGCGGTTAAATCCCAGGCCTTCTGTGGGCTGTGGTCACAGCCAGTAGTAACACCACTCCTGCCCCAGAGCTAGCACAGTGCCTGGGATGTAGCAGACCTTCTAAATTTAATACCCTTGTGTACATTTCTGTTTTGCAACATGTTTCTAAGTACACTACTTTGTTTGATCTTAAACCTTTTGAAATACACTGGACAAGTATCACCATTTTATAGATGGGAAAACTGAGACTTAGAGAGATCAAATGTTTAGTCCAAAGCTACAGAGCTAGTTAATTAAGCAGTTGAAGAACTAAGAGTATTGACTGCCACTGAAATACACTGCCACCTGATCTCAGAAACTGAAACAACTTTTTCAATAATCAGTTGTGAGAGAGGTTGGGCTCCCAGGGGAGGTGGAGAATCTTTCCAAGTCATACTGAGGTAGGCCTGACTACCATTCTTTTAGCCTAAAGACTCTGTGGTAGCATCTATGAGACGAAGAATGTACTGAGGCACAGATTAGAGAAAAAAAATGTCCTGCCATACAGATTATCTCACACTTTTCGAAATACTCTCATAAATCTTGGCTCATTTGCTCAACACAATGGTCCTGAAAGTTAGGACTGTTATTATTACATCAATTTAACAGATTAAAAAATAAAATCTAAAAGAGAAGTCAAATGACTTGCCTCAGGTCACAGAACCAGAAAATAACAAGTCTAGAAGTAGTGCCCAGCCTTTCAACTCTCTCTGTGTATTGAGTAGTTGTACTGGTTCCATGTGCCCTTGGGCCAGTCACTTAACCTCCCAGTTTCCACCTATAAAACCTATGCCCTGGGCAACTGACAGGGCTGGGATGAGTATTAAATGAAATGACGTATGTGAAGCATGCTCCTGAAATCAGGCACTAAAAACTTCATTCATCTCAACTGTTCTTCATCAGAAACAAACAAAAACTGGGGGCAGTTGGTAGGAGAAGAAGACACTAAGACTGAAGAAGTCATTTTTCAATGCTGCTTCCTAAAACAGGGCTAGAGAGGTCCTGACGGAATCTTTTATGCATTGATTCCTTGCAGAATCCTTGTGTTTTTGACTGACCTCCAATATACTACAAAATTCTCACACAAAATTTTAACTGACTTGAGTTTACAGGTAGAGATATATGCCAGGAGCTAAGATAGCATAAGTGTTACAGAACCCAACAGGACATAGCAAGATGGCACAAACCCAAAGTGGTGGGCACTACTGCCTTAGTGAAGCAAGCAGAGCTTCAAAGGTGGTATAACCCAATCACACATTATAAATGCCCAACCTGACCCCAGTACCCACTCAGGAATCACTCAAAGGTCCTAGTGTCCCAAGTCTAAGGAAGACAGGACAAAACAGCAAGTGCAACACCATCAAATCATTAAAGTTCTCCCTCTTTCCATTCCCAACAGGCATCCCTCTGCTCCCGGCCCTCAAAATGCACATTCCAATTGCCAAGTTTCCAAACTAAGAGAAGGTTCTCATCCATTTCCATGATAAGGAATAGTCACAGATATAATATCAACACCTACCAATATTTACTGAGCACCTACCATATATCAGGCATTCTTCTAAGCAGTATGAGGGGCCAGGGCTGAGCAGTAAAGTTGGTAAGTCAGTCTCAAAATCAATACACTTTAAAAAGCCCTCCAGACCAAATACAGAATGCAGGCGATGCTCCCCCTAGTGGCATACTGGAGTTACAGCTGTTTCTTAGGGCCTCGTCCTCAGTGTGAAGGGACAAAGACTGCCCCAAGGGCATGAGAACAGTGATTCCTGCTTAGGTGCTGCTACTGTATATGAGTTCCCTGAACGAGGCAGGGCAAGAGGGTAAGTGAATCCCTCTGCTACCTCTGCAAGGCTGGATTCAGATCAATCCCACTTGACCTTTGCAGAATGACAGGGTTTTACAGCCTTAGGAGGTCTCGGGTCTGTTGAGAGGCCTGCATGCATACTTGTGTCCAAAACCTGGGAGATATCCTTGCATCTGCTTACCTCCCTCTCCCCACATTCAAGCCATTGACCAATTACAAATAATTTTACTTCCAAAATACATCTCTTATCTTCCATTTTTCTGTACCTCCATGGCCATCTCAGTCTCTCCCCTGAATTGCTGCGAATACCTAATTGCCCCCAGCTCCCACACCTCCATTCTTTGTGGAGCTGCCTGAATCACCCCTTTACACCAGATCATGTGTAAATGATCTGCTTACCATGCTTCAACAGCTTCCCACTGTACTGTAGATAAAACCTAAATTCTTACCAGGACCTATAAGAAGGCCCAGCATGATCCTTCTCTGGCCCCCTCTCAGCAGTTTCCTGCCCTCCCCTCTGTGTGCCAGCTACACAGGTCTTCTTTTAGCTCCCTTAAGAGCCAGATTTTCCCCAGGCACTTCCCCTTTGCCTGGAACAGTCACCCATACCCTAGTCTGCCTGGCTGACTCTTACTCACCATGCCTCTACTTGCTTCTCACCTCCTCAGAGAAGCCTTCCATGATCCTCCAATCCAAGTGAGGCCTTATCCCTGCAAGCCCTCACCGTAACCTGTAATTGCTCATTTGTGCAATTATTGCTCCCTGTCAGTCCTCCCCCAGGAGTTCTTCAGCAGCAGGCACCTTGCCTGTTTCACCAGCCACCATATTCCCTGCACCCAGTACAGAGCCCAGCTCACAGCTAGCACTCAGTAAATATCTGCTGAATAAAAACCCATTTCTTCCTGTCCTACAGGAAGAAGAAACTTCGGACAGCTATTCCATGTCACTCATGGTATCTTTTCACAGACTTACAAACTATAATTACATCTCTTTTCCTCATGTGCCTTGTCTGTGGGCTTAACCAAAAATTCCTGTAAAGTCTCCCTGTGGTTTGTTTCCCAGAACTTCCCTTGTAAGGTCACTCTTCTGGGGCCAACTTGGGGTTTTACAGCCTCTCCCATTACCGGAGTGCCCCCTCACAAGCACTCCACCGCAGCCGCACTGCCAAACCAAACCGAGCAGGATGCAGGAATGGCCCCACTCACAAAGATGAGGAGCTTCTCTCGGGGCAGCTCCGTTCAGGGACAAAAACGCCTTCTCTCACCTCCACTGTGCAGGTCATTGTGCTTACAGAAACTGTATTTTTACTAAAAAAAAAAAAAAAAGGCATCTTATGTTTTATAATTTGGAAATGGGTACAAAATGTTTAAAAAAATATGTTTCCATTTCTAAAAAGAAAACTACTGTCTGGGGGATAAAATAATAAAGGCCTAAATAACAGCAATAACAGGGTGACTAAGTCCAGCCCCCTCTCGTGTCATACATTACCACCAAAATCTGAAATCCTTTCTGGCTTCATCTCCCGCCCACTGGCCCTGCTGCCACCCTCCCCACCCACCACTGCAGGCACAAGCAGACACACCACCTGGTGCTCGGGGAGCTGCACGTTCCGCTCCCTCCCCCTCACTGCTCATGCTGAGTGCCTCTCCTTCCCTGACTAGCAAAATCTGTCTTCAACAACTCAGTTATCACCCCGCCTCTGTGATATATTTCTTGATCTCCTAGCAGAATCTGTTCATCTACTCTGCAGGCCCACAGCAGTTTGAAGATGCCTTTATCACAGTACTTAGATCACTTTATCACTGTTACCTACACCCATTTCCCCAACAGTTGTGAGCCCCTTAAGGTCTATCCATTTTAGTATTTCATTCAGAGTGGGCAGTCAATTCATGTGTGGGGGATAAACAAATAACTGAAAAAGACTCTAAAAAGGCAAAACAAAAATGGCAAGTGCAATACCATCAGCTGTTCTCTCCTTAAGATGAGGGAATTTGAGTAGACAGATTTACACTTACCAAGAAGAAAAATACATACACATCATATATATATGATAATTAGATTCTAGATTTGATCAGTAGAAGAGTTTATAGTATTGTCTTATCCCTGTAGAAACAACTGAAATTCTGAACCTGAAAACCCAGAAGCAGAATTAAATCTTTTAAAGTCATTCCTTACTTTGGGATCAAAGGAATTCAAGAAAAGTAAACCGTTGTTTCAGTACTACTGGTTGGACCCTAGTATGCCTAAGAGATGTAGTATAACTTCAGAAGCCTTTGGGGAGCTTGGTTCCCAGTGCCCACGCAGTATCTATGCTGAAGACATCCAGTTCTACCCAAATAAAGGGACAGGCATATGCCCCACTCAGTTCTCCTACTGGGTTCTGGTTGCCAGATGAGAAGGCAGGTTTACACAAGAGCCCGTTAGGGGTTTACAATTTTCCTTTTCTACCTCTGAGTGACAGTGTCATTAAGACGGAAAAGAGGAAAAATTCAGGAACAGAGAAAGAGTCAAGAGACTAGAGCCCAGGTTACGTCCTGCTTTCTAGGGTGGTGAGATCTTAAGCAACTCCCTGTCCCCACTCAGGGCCTGCACTTTCTCCTGCATGTAATGAGAGGACAGTTGGGCTGCTGGAACTAGCTGTCCAAGGGTCCTTCTAGCTGGAATGTTCTGTCACAATCACCCAGTACTACTGCTATGTCCTTGTCACTTGGTCCCACTGCTTTCCGAATGAGTCCAAAGCAACAGGAAGTGTTTCAGTGTAAAGAGTCTCCTTCTAACCCTTTCAGCAGAGCCCCTGGCCTGGGGTCCTGGAGTCATCTGCCTGGGCTCAGACAGAAGACTGTCACCAACAAAAGGCAGTCCTTCCTTGGAGGAAAATATGGGCAAGTCAGGCTTCCTGACTAAGGAAAACTACAGAGAGAAGAAAGGCACCAAACACAGGATGAGGAAACTAGGAAATGGTCTGGGAAGAGCCTGGAAGAAGACTGAGGCTCTGCCAGGGACTCGCTCCTAGCCATCAGTCTGAGACAAAGCTGCCTTTACAAAGCAGGACTGGCAA